TACAAAATATATGGGTATGGTTTTACAGCTAAATTCAGCATATTGACACAAAATGAAAACTGCAAACCCAGCTTTCGCTGACTGGAGTCCAGTTGTTTCAATCCATTTGCTCCTGTTTCTATAGCAGTCTGTAAAAATATACCTCCGATTTTTTGTCAAATCTAGTTGTACAGTCAATCGCAAAGCTCTTTCCCACTTTGTTGTGTTTGTTTTTCGCGGCATTCACGCTGAACACAAATACAGCCGCTCAGTCTTTTTGCCACTCGATGCGAGTAACTGCAGGCCGACGATGACGTCACGCGCATATATCCCTCTATACTGGCCATAAAACTGATGCGAATGGATTTAGGGAGTGTGTATATACATCCAGCCAGTATGACTGAAGTCACGGATGAGGAGCACGTTGTACACATGCTTAAGCAAAGTGTCAAAAGGACTAATTAACATATTAATGATCCCACCTTAGCACCGCAGCTCCCGTTGGATAGTCAAAACACTTTGATAAGCATGCAAATGAGAACCCACCAGCTGAAGAAGAAATTATCTGAAGCGTGAAAGAGAAAGATAGAGAGAGAGAGAGAAGAGAGGCTGATAGTAATGATTGAACCGTTGTTTTATTTATCTTTAATTATCTAGTTAAAGCCGCTGGTGGAGGGGCATCAACGAGAGGAGCAGGTGCACAGTAATGCAATCTTCACCTCCATCTTTATTCTCAGTCTTTCTTCTCAGAGATGCCAATCAATGCAGCGGCGAAGCCAGCTGTCCATCAAAAGTCCAGGGACTGTCAAACTAGCCGTCAGATGCCGAGGTCCGGTTGGGACTCAGACAAGGGTCATTCAATATTCAGCATGAAAAGGTTAGAAGCTGAAGCTAATTAAAAAAATAGATTTTTATACACCAAAAACTGTCTTTTCCAGGGCCATGCAGGAGTTCTGAATGCTTTTAAAGGTACAATATGCAGTAAAATATCCAAAAACCACCAGGCCAATGTTATATATTTTGTTTAGTTGATTACTTACAATATCCCACATGTTTCCAACTATTTGTAAATCGTGAGAAAAGTGTGATTTTAACACACAGCCCAACATGGTAATAATTACCAGTAAAAACAAAGATGAGAGAATGCATCCATTGAATAAAAAAATGTAAAAGTTTGCCTATAGATCATGTGGACAATCTGCCCATTCTGGCTATTTAGAACAACTGTGCATAAATCACACCATAAGTTACAATTATAGCCAATTATGAGCCTTTACTGTCATATAATATCTGGGATATTTTAGTGGATACCCTCACGCATTTAATTGCTGAATGTCTACAGTGTATATGAGGCCTCTTAGCAGCATGAAAAATAAAACTTTAAAAAAAAAAATGTGAATAGATTATATACTGAAAGTGTGTAAAGAGCGCTCATTTCTAATCACAGAAGCTGTCAATCTCTTCAGTTTCAGCGTGACTGGCTACAATGCTCAACGCAGCACTGTAAATAGAAACCTTTGACGGCCTTCAGACTACAGAGCGAGAACACAAATAAGCGACCTGAAACCGCAAACGACAGCGTCAATATTATGCCTCCCCTTTACATGACATAATTTTCCTCTGCTTGAGACTACCTGGAGGAAGTGGTCGGAGTTCGGTTCGCGTGAATGTGAAAGAGACTCGGGCACTTGTTCAGGAAGTTAAGTAACATGCGTTTTAACGGATGATGACATCATTAGTTCAACCAAACACATGTAGTGGATGACAATGGTGAAAAAATAATCGTGATTTTTAACGGTAATAAACTGTAAAACTGCTACAGTGCAAAACTGTTAATTGGTTAACTGAAAGTTTCCTTACAATATACGGTAAATAACTGTGATAGATCTCATGGAACATTTAATGTCATTTTACTGTAAAATACCCAGTTTTTTTTTTAAATTGAAAATGAACAACTCATTGTATAATTTACAGTGAAAAAAACGTAAATTGACATTCCCATAATTCCCATAATTACGTATTTTTGTTTAAATAACTGTTTCCTCATAGTTTTCTCTTTTTTTAATCAGTAAATTAGGGTTTTATGTAACATTTAATGTTGTTAAATAAATGTTTATTGCATTTTTTTAAATTTCATATGTGTTACCATGATGGTGTTTAATGTTTGTGTGAATGACGCAGCTCCTTTATGTAAGTATAAATCTTCTAATGGAGATGAGCTTTGATTGATCATGTGACTCTCATCTTTGCTGTGATGATTGTTGGTTGTCAGTGTATTACAATGGAACAAAACAGATATCAATACTTCAGTAGGTTGGTAAATTAACATTACATCAGATAATGGAATACGGTTTATTACTGTAAATTTTAAGTTAAGTCTGTAAAACCAATAGCGTTGCTACCGTAGTTTTGACGGTAAAGTTCTGGCAACCACAGCTGCTGTTATTTTTACCGTAAAAATTACGGTTATATTTTTTTACAGTGTACGATCAAGCGGGAGTGAGTGTAGCGGTGCTGAGTGCAATCAGAGCGGCAAACGAAAGTCCTCACAGAAGAACTCTGCTCTGCGATATAGCACCAAATGAATAAAAACACAATATATTGACTGTTTTCTATCATGTTCAAGTTAGATGAACACAAATGCACCAGGCTTTGATAGACCTGCAGGAACAGTCACAGTCGCAAACGCTAAGAGATTAGTTGACGACTCACTGTGCCCTTTTATTTGATGTCTTCACTGTAGTTTGGACTCGATTTATTGAGCTGATGTGTGACTGCTATTGGTCTCTCTAAATCAGCTGTTCTCTGGTTTAATTCATATCTTCATTACAGACGTCAAAGTGTGTCTTTTAATGCTGCTCTCTCCCAGCCTAGAGGAAAGGAAACGGGTGTCCCTCAGGGTTCTGTCTTAGGACTCCTTTTATTTTCTATTTTTATAAATGATCTCCCACAAATATGCTCAGACTGTCAGATTCATCAATATGGAGATATATACATCTAAAAACAATATATCTAAGATTCAAACCTCACTTCAATTTGATTTCAATCGTATTCAAACATGGTTCTGCTTTTGTTCTCTGTGACCTTTTATTTGATGTCTTCGCTGTAGTCTGGACTCGATTTGTTGAGCTGATGTGTGACTGTTGGTCCGGATACTGAAGTTGAGCCACACTGTTTTTAGGTCAAGCATTGATTCCAAAACAAATGTCAAGTGTGGAGAACTTTTAAATTCACCATGAAATCAAAACGGACCATTCTTGTTTTTTTTTTTTACTAAATGTTGCAGTGTTTTATAAATTACACATTTTTTAAAATTCATATGCCCTAGTAATCTTTAATCAAAACGTTAACCAGTTGTCCCAGAAGAAACGACGTCTGTTCTCTTCCTGACGTATATCTCGATGGAGGGTGGAGATTAATATCCTCCACAACTGACTGGCATCTTCCTCAGACAATCAATGCCAAGGACGAAATCAAGTCCCATACAACACTTTTTTTTTTTTTCTAATTCCAGAAATCTTATTTACCCGTAAAAGTTCATATGTTTTGAATAGAGCCTTACATATTACTATTCTAGGTAAATAAAATGCCTCTTTCAGGGGTTGTCCCTTTAAGGCTACTGACAAGCTCAGCGTTTTTACACACACACACACACACACACACACACACATATATATATATATATATGAAGAGTTCAGATGCAAAAGCCTAAAATTTAAATTTTATTAAAATTTTTAAATTAAAATTTTCTTCTTTAATGATGATTTTTATCAAACTTGTATATTTAAGTTCAGTAATTTCAGTTAAATAACAATTAATAGATAATTATCATTGCCATTTAAGTGAAATCACTGAACTTAAATATACAAGCTTGATAAAAATGATCATTCTAGAAGAAAATTTCAAATGGCATTTAGAGGCTTTTGCATCTGAACTCTTCATATATATATATATATATATATTTTTTTTTTTTTTTCCTGACAGTGTAACATCTAAATGAATGGTTTTATTTAAGTCCAAAAAATTATTTAACATGACTGAACCAACCTATTTACACATCAAATCATGCAAACAAATCTCTACTTCCGCAGCACTTATCACACACAACTTGACAGTTTTATTCCTATTACTATTCAGAAGACTTTTACACAGGGGTTTGTTTGTTCATATCATTCGACTGGTGTATATTTAACTCTTTCCCCGCCACTGACAAACATTTCCGTCATTTATAATTGCTCAGAATGTGACTTTTTATGAAACGCACACACATTCAAGTGTTGATTAAAAAATTGTATTAAGCTAGAATAAAACTTTGTTTTAATATTGCATGTTTAGATATTCATACAATATATATATATTCTGGAGGCCATAAAAAATGTGAAAATGATCAAAAATGCTTCTGTGGCAACTTAAAAAAAAAAATTCTATTCTATTTTATTCTTAAAAATATTGTGATAATTTTTTTCTGTTCACAGTAAGTGATAAAAAAGATATGCAAAATACCCTTCAACTATAATATGTAACAGGAATTTGAACCTGGATTTAATGTTCAGATATCTGTTATGGAAATATATGCAAATACGTGCATATTTAATTTAATTAATATAAAACAACTGTCTTAATGTACTGTGCTTATTCATCTGTGGCAGAATGGTGATATCTATCAGTTAGGTCTACATCTGTACCCGATTCACCGCCTTCATTTCTGTTAACCAGAGGTGTAAATTTCTCACATCGTTTCGTGAAAGCTATCAGTTTAGAACAACCTTCAAACCAAAGTTTGAAAAAAGTGAAGTGTATATTGTGTTTTTTTTTTCTAGTTTTTTTTTTTTTAATTCTAAATGGGCTCCAAAAGGATTTGGCCATATGTCATCCTATGGAGAAATAGTTGCAGCTAAGCAAAGTGCCACTATTTGATCATCACCCAACAGGATATGACAGATGGAAAGAAACAGGAAAGCGTGATCACAACATTCCGCAGGTAAAGAGCTCTCTGCCAGCCTGTGTGTAGAAACACTGAC